TGGTCAATTGCAACGTGGCCAATCGGGACCGTGGTCAATTGCAACGTGGCCAATCGGGACCGTGGTCCATTGCAACGTGGCCAATCGGGACCGTGGTCCATTGCAACGTGGCCAATCGGGACCGTGGTCCATTGCAACGTGGCCAATCGGGACCGTGGTCCATTGCAACGTGGCCAATCGGGACCGTGGTCCATTGCAACGTGGCCAATCGGGACCGTGGTCAATTGCAACGTGGCCAATCGGGACCGTGGTCAAGTGCAACGTGGTCAATCGGGACCGTGGTCAATCGCAACGTGGTCAAGTGAAAAGTCAAGTGAAAATGCTGGTCTGGTCGACGACGACGACGACGACCGGGACGAAGACGACAAAGACGTTTCTTAATCCAAAATTTAACAAATCTGACTTTTGCATTGCAATACCTCCACTCCTGGAGCACGTAAGAGAAAAGTAAAAACACTTTTATTATGCAAATCGTACCCAAGCTATCGATTAAGCGCAGTCTCAATTTCGTCGGATCAGCCGTTGTTGAGATACGAAAATCTGAGGGCCCGTCAACTCGTGTACTCGCGTAAACTTACACGGTCGGTCTCGCACGCGTGTACTAGCTACGCTTACACTTGGCGCGAGACACTACCGTGTCTCGTGATACTAGATTAACAGTTAGTTTACAAGATCGATTATACAATATGTCAGTCTTATAAAATTAAGTAAATAAATAAATATATGTACAATGTGTCAACGAGCAATTAAAATTCGGTAATATAAAAATAAATTATAAGGTAAATAGGGAGAACCATCGACGCATATCAAATGAAAAACGCTGTTCCGCTGAAAGAGCATCGCTTCTGAATACGCGATGTGACGAATGGAAGGCAGTCATAAGAGGGGGTAACTTCAGGCGGAGACTGCTTACCGGCGGAATCTTGGTGGGGGAACAGTCACGTGACCGGTTGCGCTTAATTCTCTCATCCGAACCCAAACTTATGTCTGATATCAAGGCAAGTGCCGACCGATATGAGTTTAATGTTCCATATGAGGTGATAGTCTCCATTTGATCCGTCAGGAATTCCAATACGAGCGTTACGTCAGGGTGAAACCAATCTAGTGAGCGCTTTATGCAGAATTCCCACCAAAGCCTGATAGGTTTTGAATATTAGGCTATGGTTCCCTTAGCCAAAGACGCTAGGACTGCCTCTAAGGATCGTTCAGGAAATCCTTTCCGATGAAACGCTTCGCTGATAATTTCCCTGCTGCCAGGGAAATGTTGGACCAAACCGGATGTTGTTTCCTAAAAGGCGAAGATAATAAATTAGAGCTCGGATCGAAAATAATCGGTTTCGCAACGCAAAATTTTTTGAACAGGGGAAACCAAGGTTGAGCAGGCCACCACGGAACAATTAGAACCCCTTCTGCCTTATCCTTTATAATCTTTCTTAAAGTTTTTGTAATAATAGCAAATGGGGGAAAAGCATACAAGTAAGTCAGACTCCAGTCTACTGTAAAGGCATCCACAGCAACTGAGAGGGGATCGGGGAACCATGAACAAAACCTATCGCATTTAGAATTAGCATAGGTCGCAAAAAGATCGATTTCAAATGGGCCAAATTGGTCTGAAATTTCCTCAAAAGCCGAAGCGTTTAGTTCCCACTCTGTCTCCGTTGAGATAACTCTAGATTCGGCATCAGCAATATAATTATCCTCAGAAGAAATGTACGACGCAAAAAGGTGTAAATTTCTAGTTTCGCACCATTGCCAAATAACTTTAGCTAGAGCAGCTAGTTTCGGGAATTGTATCGAACCCATCTTGTTTATATATGCAATTGTCGTAGTGTTATCAACAGGTAGCAAAATATGTTTAGAAGACTCGTTACTCACAAAGCACTTTAATGCGTATTCTACCGCCTTTAACTCTAAAAAGTTTATATGCTCAGCTTTCTCCTCGTCTGACCACCAGCCATGCGTTGACTGATTTTCCATAGATGCACCCCAACCTGTGAGGGAAGCATCCGTATAAATTACAAAACTAAATTCAGGACTATTTAGTGGACTGGAAATAGGTGAGCAACGCAACGTGTTACTCCACCATTTAAAACCTGGTTAAAGAGACGATGGCAAGCGCATAGTTTTGTCGAAATCGTTGTCATACTCCCTGCACGCCCAAAATTTCTCTCTCTCAAAGTCTTTAGTATACAGGGTGAGGCATTTAAAACTGTTTTTCAGAATATTTGGAAAAATACAAATCGGATTTAAAAAAGTTGCAATAAAAGTTGTTCACCTCGAAGAGAATCAACGCCGTCGGAAGAGGAAGAGGATCGGAAGAGGTTAGAAGAAGAATTAACACAGGAACGAACGACATTCGAAAATCGATATTTCGCCAGTATAGCGCGAGCAAGAAGACGGCTTCCTCCGATCGCAAGTGAAGTAACGAACTATATCGTTACGCAACAACCGCAAAGCACGCGAACAACAGTCAAGCTACCAACGCTTCAATTGCCGAAATTTGACGGTAATTATAATCAATGGTTTGTCATGAGTGCGATGTACCGCACATCAGACGACGACCTCGCAGGCGGCAAGGTATCAGATAACCCCTGCCGCATGCGACGAAAACGAGTATCCGGAACAAAGTACGAAACCATCGAAGCCGCGCATACAGTTGCTAACGGAAGAACTGCTTACTAAACAATAAACGGCCTAACAACAGGGCCAAGCGCGATTGATATAAAATGGAATGGAAAGGAAGGAAGGCGGGTCAATCTAAGCTAAGTAACGATACGGATAACTGCTGTTAACGCGAGTACAAGAATTATACTAGTTTTGAATAAAGAAGACTTTTTATTTAACGGTTGTTGAATCGTCGACCTAGAGTCGTTGTGTGAACCCGGCAAACGATCCCGAATCACATCCCGTGCCCCGACTGCGTCGGGAGGCACAACAGGTTACTATTCAAAGATACGTTTTTGTCAGTGATTGATTCGAATGATAGTCTGTCAAAGATTCAAAAATTCCAATACTTACGGAGCGCACTAAAGGGCGAAGCGTTAAATGTGATATAAACTCTCGAGACAACGGAAGCAAATTACGACATAGCTTGGAATTTAATCAGGGAGCGGTATGAAAATAAGAAATTAATCATAAATACGCATCTTAAAGGACTATTTGATATATCGCTCATAACCAAAGGCAATTATAACAGTTTAAGGCTTTTTATAGATTTAATCCGTACACATCTGAAGGCTCTTGAAACTTTAGGACAAGACGTAGAGAAATGGGACACAATTTTGATTTACCTAATAAGTGGTAAATTAGATTACGTAACAAGACGAGATTGGGAACTACACGCTAGTAAAGAAGATTCGAACGCACTTCCGAATATGGATCAACTCTTCGAGTTTCTCACAAACCGAGCTCATACACTGGAGTTAGTCGAAACACAAGTCTGGAGGCGAAAAATCTTTCAATCCGAAGAAAATTGAGAGAAAGGTTAATCTTGCAACTGCGATAGTTGCATGCAGCTACTGCGAGGATGCTCATACTCTTTACAAATGCGAAGAGTTTTCCAAATTACCGGTAGAAAAGAGTAGACAGGAAGTACAACAAAGACACCTATGTCTGAACTGCTTACGAAGAGGACATTATGTGCAGGAGTGTAAAGCAACTTCTTGCAAGCACTGTAGCGAGCGGCATAATACATTACTACACGTCGATAAGGACGGTCAAGAATTCAAGTCAAACTCAATTAAGAACGAAGCACCAAAGCAAGAAAAGAAAGCTGTATTGACAAGCAGTGTACTTTTAAGAAGCACCGAAGGCGATGATCTTACAGATAATGATCAACAAGAAAAGAAAAATAGTGGAGAGGCCACAGTAATAAATCACGTAGTTCATCGAAATTCTGGGTCAGTTTCTGGCTACAGCTCAAATCCACGTTTACGACAGAGAAGGAAGACTGATACAATGCAGAGCGATGTTGGATCCTCGATCGCAGTCCAATTTGATGACGATGGATTTAGCAAAGAAACTAAAAATCCCGATAGTAGAAAGCAAACTTCCACTCAGCGGAATTGGAAAAGCAAGAACTAATACAAGAACAATGGTACGCGTGAAGATCAAATCTATACATACCTCATTTACATCCGAGTTTGAATGCCAGTTGATGCCGGTAATTACTGAAAATTTACCGCAAGTTTATGTGGACACCACGATATGGAATGTTCCCAGACACATTAAACTCGCCGATCCGACGTTCAACACTCCTGGGAGCATAGATCTACTTATTGGAGGAGCGCTGTTTTGGCAGATACTATGCATGGAGCAAATAAAACTTCATAACAAGCTACCTACTCTACAGAAGACTATGTTGGGATGGGTAGTAGGAGGAGAGATAGTAGGTCGCAATACCGTAAGACAACCGCAAACGTGTCACTTACTTACCAAATTGGACAAACAACTCGAGAAATTTTGGATCATCGAGAAAGGGACGGAACAACCACATCTATCAAAACAAGAGCAATATTGCGAAGAGTTTTTTAAGAAGACTGTACGTCAGAACGCAGAAGGAAGATACATCGTTCGTCTACCGAGAAATGAGGCTACGAAAATAGGATCATCAGAGGAGTTTGCAATGAGACGCCTATACTCGATGGAAAATAGAATCGAGAAACAACCTGATATATGGAAGGCTTATAACGAATTTATGACCGAATACGAAGCTATGGGACATATGACGCCAATACAAAGGACAGATAATTCGACGGAAGAAGAGGCCTTCTACCTACCACATCAACCGGTCATTCGGACAACGAGCCTGACAACAAAGCTTCGAATCATTTTTGATGCGTCGGCCAAGACATCAAACGGGACTTCACTAAACGACATGCTACTGATAGACCCCAATCTGCAGGGCGACTTACGGAGTATTATGTTACGATTTCGATGCCACCAGTATGTCATGACTGCCGATATAGCTATGATGTTTCGGCAAGTTATGGTGTCAGAAGAAGACCGACATCTACAGCGAATACTTTGGAGAGAAGACTCTGATCAGGCCGTTCAGACGTACACGCTGAATACCGTCACAAATGGCACGGCATGCGCACCATACCTAGCAATGCGATGCTTACGGCACCTCGCGGAAGGAGAAAAGAAGAACTATCCAGCAGCAGCCAAGATTCTAGAAGATGACTTCTACATGGATGACGTATTGACCGGTAGTGATACGATAGAAGGAGCGGCAGCTTTGCAAAAGGAACTCTCAGAGTTGCTGGCAAGAGGACAATTTCCGTTACGCAAATGGCGATCAAATGATTCAAGAGTACTACATCATCTAGCGGAAGATCGAAAAACGGACGAACTTTTTGTTCTGGATAAGGAAGAACCGCTGAAGACACTGGGTCTTCTCTGGAATTCAAATCAAGACGTTCTGCAATACAAGGTCACGGTGACTAACAATCAAAAAATGAGTAAACGTAACATTTTGTCACAAATTGCAAGTATCTATGATCCTCTAGGTTTAATTGGGCCAATACTCATTACGGCAAAAATCACAATGCAGCAACTCTGGAAGATAAAATTAGGATGGGACGAGATAGTATCAGACGAGATATCAAGGGCCTGGACGAACTACTATGGAGATCTACCGGAGCTCAATAATCTGAGAATCCCGCGAAACGTCAACCCACTAAATGAGACGCAAGAAATTGACCTTCATGGATTTGGAGATTCATCCGAGAAAGCATATGGGGCATGCATTTACTGCACATATAAATCAAGAGACGGGGCAATCAAGTCATTTTTGCTCTGTTCGAGGGCACGTGTAGCCCCTCTTAAAACTATTTCTCTGCCAAAGCTTGAGCTTTGCGCTGCGCTCTTGCTTACGAGACTTTCTGCAAACGTACAAAAGGCGATGCAAGGAAAAATAAGAAGAATCTACCTTTGGAGTGATTCGACTATTTTCTTGTGCTGGATCAAGACACCCCCCTACGAGTTGAAGACGTTCTACGCAAATCGAGTAGCTGAAATACAGCAGCTGTTACCGCAAGCGGAGTGGAATCATGTAGGATCGGAGCAGAATCCTGCGGACTTGCTGTCGAGAGGAATGGCCGTACAGGAGTTTACACGAAATCAATTATGGTGGTATGGTCTACAATGGATAACCAATCCAGAGTGTTGGCCGAAAATGCCGCTTAAACCAGTAGAGGATGACCCGGGTAGGAAAGCGCAGATGATCTGTCTTTCCGTACAGAAACATTACGACATTTTGTATAAGTATTCGGTGTTTTCCAAACTTCTGCGTGTAATAGCTTATTGTCTGTGTATAGCGTATTGTCTACGATTCCGAAGTAAGCCTAAGGGGGATCGGAGACTCAAGGGTTTGACTGTAGAAGAGTTGGATGAGGCTAAATTCGTAATACTGCGCTTGGTGCAGGAGGAGCAATTTGCCGACAAACTAAAGGACTTACAACGAAAACAAGCAGTTGACAGTAAAAGTTCACTAAAGCAACTCAATCTATTCATCGACAACAGAGGAATAATCATAGTAGGCGGAAGATTGCGCCATTCGGATATTCCAGAATCTCAGAGACATCCCATTGTTTTGCCCTCCAGGCATCACATAACAACTATCATCTTGAGAGAACAACATACAAAACTACGGCATTGCGGTCCGCAACAACTGCTGTGTGTGACGCGCCTTGAATATTGGCCTTTATCAGGAAGAAGAGAAGCGAGAAAGATCACTCGTGCATGCGTGAGATGTTTTCGCGCAAAACCAATAGTTCCAGACGTGATTATGGCTTGCCAAGGAGTCGGGTTACAATAACCACTCGACCCTTTGACGTATGTGGTATTGATTACGCTGGACCACTTATGGTTCGAGAAAGCCGTAGAAGAGGGAAAATTCCGATTACGAAGGCGTATGTTGCAGTGTTTGTTTGTTTTAAGACTAAGGCAGTTCACTTGGAGCTGGTCAGTGGTCTTGACACTGAAGCCTTTATGGCTGCACTCCGACGTTTCTCAGCAAGAAGAGGAACTAGCTCCCACATATATTCAGACAATGGCAGTAATTTTATCGGAGCCTCCAATGAGCTTAAGGCAATGTACGAATTCCTAAGAAGAGAAGGGGAGAACATTGCAACAAATTTGGCAATGCAACACATATGCTGGCATTTCATTCCACCTCACAGTCCGCATTTCGGTGGACTATGGGAGGCCGGTGTGAAGAGTATGAAGAAACATCTCAGATTTCGATGCAGAATCTCACATATACGTTCGAGGAATACTACACGATGCTCGTAGAAATCGAAGGGATCCTTAACTCTAGACCACTTACTCCTATGTCATCAGACCCGAATGATTACGCGGCTCTCACTCTTTCACATTTCATTACTGGCGATTCCTTATTAAGACCTGCAGTAGAGAATTATCTTGATGTACCTGATATGCGGCTCTCCAGATGGCAACATTTGCAGAAGATTCGACAACATTTTTGGCAAAGATGGCAGCGCGAATACCTTCAGCAGCTTCAGGTTCGAACCAAGTGGGGTACAGGAAAACATAAGATGGAAGGTGGATCTCTGGTCATTTTGATGGACGAGAATCTACCAACTTTGCAATGGAAATTGGGCAGAATAACCGAGCTTCACCCTGGATCAGATGGGCTAACGAGAGTAGTCACAGTCCGCACAAGTGCTGGGTCCTATAAGAGAGCAGTGAAGAAGTTATGTGCTCTTCCGGACGAGGTACCAGATTAAAGACTCTAGTGAGACACGTATTGATAATTAAGTCAAGATAGTTTAGTTATTAAGACGAATTAAAGTTGTCGGACATGTTAATTATAATTTAAATGTAAGGTTTAAAATATTTGTTATCACGAAGCTTGCCAGAATATTTCATTTCACTTACAAACGGTCGGAAGTGTCCCTCACCGATTTGAATGAGCTTTGGATATGTTGTAGAGCATAAAAAAGTATTAGACCCGTATTTTTTTT